TTTCTGGACTGAACGCGGGACAGACTTGCATTGAAGATGGAACTAAACAGCATACTAACTAAACAGAATATCATCGAGAATAGAGCAAGAGTTACAGGAATAAATAGATAACAAAACCCGAACAGAACATAAACATCAGACGTGAAGGACATAACGAGGGACATAAGGCATTGGTCGTGGATAGATCATGATAAAAGGAGGTTTGAAAGCAAAAAGGAACAAGCACTGTAAGTGTGACAACAGGATTTAGCGAGCGTGTGAGGTATAAAATATGAATGACAAGATAGCAAGGCAAAACATAGATGACGCGTCTTAATCTCAGGAATATCACAGAGCAAGAAAAGCAGAACCAACCCGAAACCAACATAGATAGAGAACAAAGCAAACGAAATAACAAACATTCCCCTCGTTAATGACCGCGTCGCAAACTAGTCCTGTAGTCGCTTGCGCCCATACCCATCGACCAGCGAGTGGGTTAGAAGAGCTGCGGTGCTTGTGGCGAGACACGGCCCCCTACATCAGCAAGTACTCCCAGTTGTTGGCGCGCATAACTTCTCGCCAGTAGATGTAGCGCTTCTCTGGCTCCTCGCTCTCTTTCTCGTCATCCTGGTTTTCCTCTCCGTGCTGCTCCTGATTCGGTGGCTCAAGATTCTGCTCCTCCTGAGCTTCTTGCTCCCCATCCTGGTGCTCATCACCCACTTCTTCAACATCCAGCGGACTCCGATGCTGCTGGATTGATGCCTGAAAGGCCTCTTCAGCTGCAACAGACTGACTAACACAGGATTTGGGAGGCCTTGTACCGCTTCCAGGTAGAGAGGCGGTCGCGTCAGCAATCCTCCAGACCTCTGTCAGGACACGATACACCCGACCGATACTTCCGAACTTCCCTAGGCAGCCCAGGGCAGCGATTCTCTCTGACAAGATCTTTCGGAACTGACTTGGGGGAACAGAGTACAAACCCGCAATGAACAACGGCCAGGCCAGACAGCGATCGTAACCGGTGCGACCGGTCGGAATCATCTGAATGATGTCGCCAATTCTGGTAACCCAGCTCATGACGGTGGCATCGTAGCTATCGAAGGTCGGGAGGATGCTGTGAGCGTAGAGCCGCGCTGCCAGTCGAAAGAGCGCCGTGATCAGCGTGACCAACTTATCTGCGATGATGACTCCGTTGGAGTCGTAGGGGGCCTCGACAGGTGAGTCGGTGGCTTCGGTCCAGTTGATCTGCTCGTTGAGCGCGAAGACGTGTTGATACAGATCCAGTTCTTCGAGATTGCCCTCAAGCCACAGCGATTCTAGACATGCGATCTCCGAAATGAGGTACATGATACGGTCATCGCAACCCATGACATGTTGCAGACCAGAACGGATACCTGTTACATGTCTTTGCCGATAGGTGTGGGCGAACTCCGGCGTTGCCCCTAGCATCGTAGCTCCAATAATATCGATCCATGCAACGAGTGCGACGCTCAGAGAACTGGGAGGGTTGATGAGCTTCTTAATGAGAGTGGCAGCGCCTTTGAAATGGTGGCTCCACGGGATATCATCCAAATAATCTTCTGAGGTTGCCACGAAGGAGTTGTAGAAGATCAGACCGAGTGTAGCGTCAAGGTTCTGCAGATGCCCGCTTTCCCTGTTGAGGACATTGGAGAGCTGCGAGATGGCTGCGTAGCGATGCTCCATGATGTCGTGGTCCATTTGGTCGTCCAAGCCTAGGGTGTACTTGAGGTGGATAGCTGCCGCGCTGAGGCAGCATCGAAGGTACGCCCGGTTGTTTTGCATCAGGCCCAGGATCTCATTTATGTGCAAACGAGGGCCTTGCCTTGCTTCCAAGATTGGGAAGACAGTATGCAGGACGTGGTCGACAAAGTGTTGCAGAAGCGGCTGGGCATTATTGTCAACAGAGATGAGTCCCCGCACCGATTCGTAAAGAGGAAGCTGAGCATCTGTGCTATCGGAGCCTCCGATGGCCATGTTATCGAAGAAGTCCTGGTTGTAAGGCTGTGGGAGACTGAAGGGTGGCCGTGCCAACTCCCTGTGAGGAAGCCGGGGCGTTGGAGGAGGCACTGAGGAAGGACCCTGCCCGCTATATTGCGGCAAAGGTGGGCGAGTGAACGTTTCCGTCTGAGGAGATGGCTGGATCGAAACTCGAGACACCAACTGTAGCTGAGGAGCACCCGCGGTTGAAGTGAACGTTTGAACCTGGGGAATGATGGGCGATTGGGCAAATGTCGAGGTGGGAGGAGCTGATAATGGGGTTGGAGGAAGTGCTGGGGTCTGGGAGAAAGTCGCAGACTGGGGCAACGATGGGGTCTGTGCCAAGAAAGAGGCCTGGGGAACTGGCGAGCTCTGGGGCAAGGCTGGGGATGCTGATACAACTCCAGTGCTCAGAGCGACATCTTGCTGGACTTGGAACGGATTGGGATTGGGAGTGACCGGGGTAGGAAGAGACTGAGGAATGGTAATAGCTTGGCCCCTGGACGCTGCATGACTGGAGCTCGTTCCCTCAGACTCCGGAGGCTTTGGGACGAGAGCAGAAATCCGGTCTCTATACTCTACACAAATAGTTAGAATGCATCTTTATCAGATAAGCATCGAGCGAGTGGCACATACTTTGCAAGTTGCCCTCCTTCTCCATCACCTTCGTCTGTCGGATCCTTTCTTTAATCCTTTCCTTCTGCACTCCACGCTGCTCCTTAGTGGCCCACCACTTAGGGGTCACATAATTGCACTTCAAACCAAGCTTAGTGCATGTAGAGCAGATCGGCCGGGTCTCATCACACTTCTTCCGTCGCAAGCGACAAGTGAAGCATCCTAAAGAGAGTTCCATGGTCAGTGCTTTTTGGAGCTACCCTGCTGATCTGAGACTGCATATGATGAAGGTGTTTATATTATAAGGCCAATCATACCTGAACGAGATCTCTTGTATGTCTTGGTCTTCCGTTCCCCCGATGGACCAGGCTCATCAGGCAATTCCGAGTTGGCTCTCTCGGAACGACGGGTATCGTCCATGACTGGTTGGGCGGAGGTAGAAGCCATTGTGCAGCACCACCTTATCAAGCAGTACGTAGAGTGTTCCCGAACGATGACGAAGAAGTCACAGGTCTTGATAGAAGGACTGTCGACTTAGATGATAGAGATTGTAAAACCAGATATGTGAATTGATGATTGTAAAGTGAAGTAAGAATAGAAGACTTGAGATGTTGCACTGTGTTGAGATCCTCTCTATGCTTATCCTTGAGGTAGGATGTTGTTGTAGAAGATGATACAGAAGAGGATGGAGTTGAGACGAAGGAGGCATCGAGCTGGCCTTTATGAATCTTTTCCACCCCGGCATCTGGGACATAGAGAGGGTAGACATGGTGTCCACCGTTGCAGGTGATGCCCGGGTAGATTCTATTTTTTACCAACACCAGCGGATGACTGTGGATGGACGATGTTTCGAAGACAAGTCCGAGATGCAAACCTTGTGGGGAACGAGGACGAACGACAAATCACCATTGTCGCGAAGACCGAAAACAAAGCGCGAGAGCTAAATTGAGACCAGGTGGTGGTGGTGGTCGAGATGGATGGTATGGCATGCACCGAAAGCCTCTGAATGTCGAGCCGATATCTGGCACAGCTCGCGTGCAGCCGGAGACTGCAAGGGTCGATCACGCTGGGCTCTTACCATGAGGTTCCTGTCAGGGTCTTGGGGAGGTTCGTCATTAGCGCGAAGTTGAGAATGGCGGATAATGAGAGCGCAACATTGGTCAGTTGGATGGCATCTCCTCCGGGCTTGCCAATAATTTGTGGACTAAGTGAGCAGAGCACTGTCGTTGTTGGTGGTGGTGGTGTTGTAGGTCCATGTTGCTATTGTTGTTCGCATATCATGGCTTGTTGCTAAGAATAGGAATCAATCTGTATAGATTCAAGTTCTCGATGCGCGGTTTTCCGAAAGCCAGATTCTTTCTATGGAAGAAGATGCATTTCTCCAGTTAGCCGGTAATAGTTAGTATGGGTAATAGTGTTATTCTCATGGCCGGCCCGGGACATAGTAACGCCCAAGTTTAATCGACCACGGCGCTTAAGGAGCATCTGAGTATGGCTATTGGCTGAAAGGATTCCATGAGCGCCAACGTACATTGCCAAGCTTCAAGACTTGAAGCATGATTCGACCAGAGCCAGTCGTTGTTGACCCATCATTGCAGTGGGCGGGACTCGGCCCGTGCGGGTGATGGAGGAAGAGAAGGAAGAAGAGGAAGAAAGAGGAGGGGGAGGGGCAGAAGGAGGGGAAAGTGGGCGTGAGAAGGATTGAGAGGAAGCATTGGCAACCGTTAATTAGCAGCCGGAGAGGCCTCTTGGAGGGAAATGGACGCCTGTCCATTGGCCGTTGCTCGCACATCAGGTGGGGTTCTCACGAATGACTTGCTGTAATTTGCCCAGGTCTATCCTAATAATAACCTGAAGGAGCCGTCACTATCACCAACGGAGGGGACGTGCATGAACAGCTGCAGCATGCCATTGGACATGCACGCGGCTCCTCGTCGATAAGGTGGTTAACTTTGAGGTGTCGATGACGCGTTTGTCCATACATTACTCTTCCCACCATTCCTGATTCGTACATCCTGATGTCAGTTTGGTATATCGAAAAACACGCTAGTCGTGATGGTTTTCAATAGTTTCATGTACGAAGCTCCCGAGAAGAAGAATCTTGCTATTCTTAGAGTATACTGAAATAGAAGGCTTCTCAGAAGCTTGATGAAGACGCATCGAAAGAGCGCCATGATCTAGATTCAATCTATATGGAGGGAGTATACTATACTTAGAACTGTAACCAACTCATTCCTCCTCAAGAAATAGCACGCCTTTATGATTGCACTATTCCGGGACTCCTGTACACATGCATCGAATCATATCCGCTCCACGCTCGGGTATCAAGTGTCCAGTGGACCAGCACCGGAATTGCTCTTTACATGTCATCACCATCGTCAGTGAAGTCCAGCCTCTCCTTTCCCCCATCAAGTGATGAGGACATATGGCTGTTCGCCTCCAATAAGGGTCGCCTCTGCCGTGTCCTCCTCCGAGCACTCAGGATGTAGATCCTCTATGTCCGTTCCAACGCTGTCTCTACGGGTTCTAAGAGGCCCCGGACGCAGTTGACCGTCATTATCAAACCATTGCGCACCAAATGGGTTCTTCCGAGCTACATCAAACGCAGTGCTCCCTGCCCCGTCCTCCTCTTCACCATCAACATCGTCATCATCGTCAGACGTGGCACTGTCTGGGGTCTCAAGTGACACATCTGCTCCCGCTTCTAGAAGGATCCTGAATATTGTCTCGCGACCGCGTTCAGCTGCAAGATGAAGGGCTGCCTTGCCTTCTGAAGTCATGGCATTTATATCGGCATCCAAGTCCAGAAGAAGCTGGACCAAAGACGGTCTGGGAACAACCGCCATAACTGCAAGATGGAGTGGTGTCTCCGCGGCTCCTGATGTGGCGCGAGCATTGATATTTGCTCCACACGAGAGAAGCATCTGGATGTATTCGGCTGTCTTGTCAAAAGACAAGTCAGGTACACCTGTGCCAACGAACACTGCCTGATGTAGAGGCGTCCAGCCCTGACTAGACACTGCATTGACGTTATGTCCAAAGTCCAGGGCAAGTTTGAGAATATCGAGACAATCATCGTTGATCGGTGGTGTGATATGGAGGAGTGTTTCACCTTTCGGAGTTTCAACATCCATCTTTGCTCCCTTGTCAAGCAGAAACAGCCACATCGCTCTGTTTCCTGCTCTGGCAGCACACTGAAGGGGGGTATACCCCTGGTGATTACGAGCTTCTATATTGGCACCTTGCTCTAGGAGCTTAGCAGCGATTGCTGTATTGGAGGAGGTTTTCGCCTGCTCGTGGAGCAGAGAATCCCCCTGTTTGTTCCATGCGTTGACATCAGCACCGCCAATGACCAATAGATCAAATGCAACCCAATGTCTAGCGTGAGCCGCGAGTTGCAGCGCTGTGAACCCGGACAGGGAGCGCGTCTCTACCTGGGCACATCGCTGAAGAAGAAGCGAGATTGCCTCACAATTATCAATTTTCGCTGCTAGCTGCAGCGGCGTGAACCCATTCTCGTTCATCATGTCAATGGCAGCGCCTTTGTCAAGAAGGAAGAGAATGATGCGTGGTCTTCTCCATTCAACAGCAAGGTGTAACGCGGTGTCTCCAGTGTGAATGTTACGGATGTTCACGCCTACTCGGTTTTTCACTAGCAACGGGATCGTCGATTCGTCAGATTCGGTGCCAACTGCCACCTGGAGGCCTGTAGCGCCTTTCTCGTTTGCGATTTGGGAATTGACACGATGAGCAAAGAGGACCTTTAATACTTTGCGCTGCCCATATTGTGTGGCCAAATGCAGTGCGGTGCTTCCATCTCGTGCGACGGCGTTAACGTCGGCTCCATGTTCTAGCAAAAGACTGACCATTTCATCATTGCCACGATACGCGGCACAATGAAGTGGAGTAAACTTTAGGGTGTTGTCATGTGCATCGACATCGGCACCTTGGAGGATCAGACGGTTTGATCGAGGGATGATGCCGAAGAAGGCCAAAACATGCAGAGCACTCCAGTCTGAAGGATAACACCCAAGGCCTAGCCCTTTAGGTATGACTCTTTCATCACTCAGATCCTTCAAAGGTGGCCGTCGCCACAGGAGCTTGTTGAGAAATGTTTTTGTGAGGACCTGTATTGTTTGCTCGTCATCAGGGACTTGACGAGCATGGTCGCCCCAGTATCTCGCCGCGTAGCTGAGAAAGCCGCTACTGGCGCTGCGGGAAATCGGCCCGCAATTTCGGTAGCACTCATCGACCACTTCATCTGGTGAGATGGCTGTAATACACACTTCCGTAATATCCTTCTGGGCGGTGGGGAAGAACACCCTTGCAACTGTGCCAGTGAGGTATTCCTTCGCGGTTTTGTGGACAAAACGAACTGTTCCTGTCACTCCATCCACGGTCAAGAGCCCACCAGTCTGCACCTGCAGAGAGTGTTCGAAGGTGGAATTGTTGCTTCCGTCATCTATTGTTGAGGTTTTGGTGGCACACTTTAGCTCTGCGACCGTCAACGGCCGAAAAGCATATAATGTCCAGTATACGTAGCGAGCGGCACTCGGGTTGATGCTCACTACCTGCTTCATCGCTTCACTGTAGGCCTCAATAAGACTCTCTGGTAAGTGGACCAAAGCTCGTTCTAGAAGGTTTCTGTCTGTGTAGCGCGACAGAAGATCTAGATGTATATGCGCCAAAAGGAAACTTCAAAGCAGCGACAATCAGCCTCCCATCTACTACGACGTGGTAACTTTGGGGGAAATCTTGGTACTTACACTCCATGGCACTTTTCCACAACAGTGTATACGACCTCTTCGTACAACCGAGTGTCCGGTTCCTTTTCAAACAACCCCCTCAATCCAGCATCATTCTCGATCCGAGAGATAGCATATCTTTGAAGATCCTCTGATGATCCCAGGATGCTCACATAAGACGCGTCTCCCACTTGGGTAACTTCACGAAGGGTGACTAATAGCTGTGCGTGCTCTGGGAGTTTCTGCAGTCGGCTCAAAATGCGCTCTTTATCAGAAAGTAGTTCCAGTCCATCCATGACGAACATGGCTTTCGAGAAACGATTGACTTCCGCACGTATTGCGTTATGGTATTCCTTGGGTGAGGCCCTCCCTTTTGTTAAGGATTCAGAGTGATAAAGAGACGATGTTGCATAAGAAAGACTGCGCTTGCGATATACGAGCTGAGCCAGTATGCTGCGTAAAATATCGGTGGAATTATGGTCCTTTGCATGCTCCTGCTGGATGATAACGAATACCGTGGCTACATCGGGCCCCGTGAAAGTTCTTTGCAGAGAATCGATGATAGCAGAACTGCATGTTTCTCATCAGTGTTCAGTCTATCTAATTGTAAGTAGCACGACTTACGAAAGAAATGTTTTTCCCGCACCAGCTATCGACATGGAAGACAGCAAGTTAGCTTACCAGTGTTTCACTGAAGGGCATATGGAGTACTCACGCGGACCGACACAGTAAAGTGTCTTGAAAGTTCCAAGCAGCCATCGTCTGTACTCTGTGTGATCGAAGAACCAGTTGCATGACCCTTTGAGACGTCGGTTACACAAGTCGGCGAGGCCAATAAATTGTTCAGAGCAAAGTCGACTTGTTATGCCCAGTGCATCTTCCTCGAATTGTAAATCAACCGTTGGGCCTGAGTACATTGATCAACTGCCAGCACTTAAGCCACACTTAGATGAGTACATACCGCAATCTACACCTCGAGCCAGCCGGAGTGTATATCGTATTTCTTCTTCCAAACAAGACCGTTCCCTGTGGACAGAAGTTAGCTCGAGTTTCCTTACTGACATATGTTAACGGCTAGCATCAAGTATCCGGGGTCATACTCTGAATCAGGCTGCATTGCTAGCAACAGGAGAATCTTATACTGCTCCAGGCGCGGTAGGAATGTTCTCTCCAACAGGTGTTTCCGGAAGTAAGCAACGCTCACTCCCCCCGGCTGAAAGTAGAGCTCGATTGATTTCATGGAGGAATTCAGCCAGGAGAGCATTTCGGCCAAAGCCACCAGACGCGATGGGTCCACGTGCCATTTCTCCTCCCCCCAACTGATCTGCTCCTTGATGCGATATAGCAAGTCCAAGATATCCGCCAGCAGGGTGAGAGCCTTTTGTGATGTTTCCTGAGAATCCCGCCCAGTGCTGAGACAGCGCATCACAATGCGAGTAGACTGAGTGACCTGAACGAGGTCCCCCCGGAGTTCTGAGACCTCGACCATATTTCTGCACCGGTACCAATTCGCTGAATGACCCCTCCTTGGCCGTAATGTAAATGTACGGGAAGCAGGGGTTGGTAGCCGCAATCAACGGAGAGTATATGAGCAAGTACAAGCGAGAGGGTGACAACAATTAAGTAAAATGCTGTGGATATATGGAAGTGGTAAACAAAAGAGGTTAGAAGAGGAAGTGTGAGTGAGAAATCAGCGAGACAAAGTAGGACTAAGCGGTTGACCCAAGCGTGCCGGGTGGGTTTCCATGCGGAAAACAGGACGGATGCGCAGCGAATAACAATAGTGGCGTCTAGCAGAAAAAGAGAAACATGCGGGTACAAACCCTTTGCGATGATATTTAGTGGAAATAGCGATCAATTACTGGAGAAAGGAAGAAGCAAATGCCCACTGGTGCCCCTCGCAAGGCAGCCCACCGACAACCGCCGAAAGCTTAGGTACAGCGACAATCCGCTGCTGGTCACACGCCCAGTGGAAGCCGTCCAGGTGGGCGCTTCTACCTATGAGAGAAGCTGGATGCTCTGTAGTAGTAGTACTACTCTGTCACTGCTATTCCTACAATTATTACTAATAGTAGCTAGCCACTGTCTATTTACCAGTGTCGAAGCTAAGAGAGAGAGATATAAGCCAGACAGTCAATATGCTTTTTAAGCAGCATCAACACAAGTCATACTGGGCTGAATATTCTCCCAGACATGCCTGGTCCACACTAGGGTCATGGAAGATATTACCTATCCATGTTACATGGTACCTTGCTGCCCCGTGGCCACCGAAGTGATCATCAGCCAGGACAGAACAAAGAGAAACGAGGTGAGTAGTAGTAGTAAAGACTAAACGGTACGGAGTTGGGAGACATGAGTCTACTACTACTGCAGGTCGCGACGAAGACAGAAATGGGCCCATGGGATCCCCACTCCAGCCCCGTCCCCATCGCAACATTCATTCGATCAACGATGATAAGAAGCGGGGGAACTGCAGGTGGAGCAGATGTGATTGCCGTGCGTGTGCTCGCATCCATCCACTCCCCGCCGAGCGTTAGCCGCCCGGCGGATCCATCCATAGTATACTTCCGTGCTCCCGCGGCCAATAATGGGCTCCACCCATCCCTGACATTGTGATAACATCGAGGATTGGCACACCAACCCCCGTATGAGTGACTTTGCTGGCAAGTAATATGCACCCCCCGCCTCATGCACTTTCACCGTGTGCTCAGACCAAAAGTTGCGACTTGCGATCCTTGGTGTGTACCTCCAGCGCGACATTGTATGGCAGAAGGAGAGCCCCAGGAGAACTTGGACACGAAGAAGGGACAAAGTTTACTTCGAAGAGATCTGAATGCTCAAATATGAACAACTAAGTGGATACAACTCATACCGATTTGCTCTTACATGTGACATAATAAGGGATAAGGTTTTCATATTGTTAGGCGTAAAGCTGTTGGGTTTGTTGAGAAGTTGATAGGTAGACTTGGTTAAGCGCCGACCTTGCTGGGTGGCGTCCAGCACGAAGGTGTCACCCGAGGAAAGGCGGGTCGGCTCCATCCACTTCCGGTCGCTCAGTTCCAGTCTCAGCTGGTTTGTCTCGAGACTAACTCATAGAGGCTTTGGGAGAAAGGCTACATTAAAGGTAGAGATGTGTTTCACAGTTTAGAATCATATGTTTCTTGTTAGCTCTATTGAGCCTTGGTTGCAGTTTAAATACATAATCTGAAGGGCCAGCCTCCACAATAAGTTGAGTAATGTATAATCAGTATGGCAAGCCAGACGTGAGTCGACATCGGGGGCCATACACCCAATCTACCCGTGTTTTTTGTGCCACTGACAAATGAAATGGGGATTATTAAGTATTGGGAAGGGAGAGGCAGAGAGACAGAAAATTGGACACAGTCATGGATATAGTCGTAAAGTCGTTAAGAGTGATGAAAATGGGTACTTGAGAATGAAACCGGTAAATGCAAAACATGAAGCAAATAAAAGGGTATCAAAGGATGCACTGTAGCAAATGCAGTAACACCACAGGAATCTGCAGCTTGTTCGAATACATCGTTTAGATGAAATTTCCATTGTGGTTGATAGATGAGCCGCCTTCGCGGCTTTTCCGCAGCGCTTTGGCAAGCATCAACTCTCTCATCCAGTCAATGCGCTCGTCCCGTGTCTTGACTGCAAAGTGATGAGCCTTGGGGCCGTTGGTAAACAAAAGCTTCTTGTCAAACGTGCTGTTTGTCGGTGATGGGATTAGAGAGAATGCGAAGGCGGCTCCTCCCTGAGTGGTGTCTTTGCGCTTCAGAACGGTTTTCTTGAAAGCCGCTGTCAGCTTTGAGTTGGATGGAAAGGACGAGCAAGCCACAGCATAATCATCCACATCGATATACTCAAGAGCCTTGGAGTCTCGGTGTGAGGTCTCTTCGTCGGGAAACATGGCTAATTGTGTGCCCCGCAGGGTGAAGTGGTGATCTTCCCAATCGTGGCGGAGAAACCGTGTCGTCTTCCGCTTTTTCATCCACCCACTGTGGGTGACGCTATTGTCACCGTTGGGAGCCTTGCAGTGTGCAGCCCGAGGGGTCCTCGCCATATCCTCGGGAGTCTCGATTGGTGGCAATGGCAACCGTTTTCCTAGGTAGGGCAGATCCTGACCATTTGAGACAAAGGCGTGTCTCCGCGAATTCTCGGGCCTAGTAGAGGCTGGTCGGAGAATTACATCCGGTACATGGTGCATGTCCCCCCCAAATCTCATATCCGGTGGAACGGACTGAGAAAAGTTCCGCGCAACAGGTCCAATGGGGATGGCAGTAATTGGGGCATCCATCTCAGACAAAGGCGTGCTTTGAGCATAGTGGGGGTCAATTCTGTAGAAGTCTGAAGGTGACACCCCTCTTTGCAAGGGCTCAAGAGATTTCTTTGTGTTTTGTCTACCAAACGGTTGCCTTCGTTGTAGGATCGAAGGGGTGATTGTGCGTTGAGCAGAGTAGTTGGGCGACAACATGGAACTAGTATCGGTGTTGAGGCTTGGGATGCGGAGCTTGGGGAGATGACGAAGATTCTCGGACAGGGTAGCATTTGCTCTTGCGGCTCCAGGCGAGCCAGCTCCAGGAGAGAGGTGATCTCCGGGGGGAGTGGCAGGATCGCAGGCTGGTTCCAGCTTACTGAGGCGCTGAAAGCTTAGAAATTGCCGTACGTTTTCCTGAGGATCACGGGGCTTCACGCCCTCGAGCTTGTCCTGGGATAGCTGCAATGCGGCAGCATGGTTATTACCCAGGGCATCTGAGGATGCAATAACAGATGGCGTTACTTCTGACTTGGGTGTCTTGACAAGATTCTGCGCGGTCGCAGGATTTCCCGGGTCACCAGTGATAAGAACCGAGCCGCCTAAGCCCTCAACCGGGAGGCCTTTGGCTAGACGTGCGAGCTTGGCCTGTTGCTTTTGCCATTTGCGGCAATTCTCGCCCTTAGAGCAAGTGTGAAGTCTTGGCAACAGCTGCTCTATGGCGACAATGGAGACCGAGTCTTCAGGAACAATATCTGTGCCCTTCTGCTGTTTTTGACGTCTGCGACGCCGATGTTGTGAAGACTTTGATCGGGACTTATCATCGTCCGTACTTGGGCTTGTGCAATCAACACCAACCTCAGCGGCAGTGGTCTGTGGGGTTGATGTGTCTTCCCTTGATGTGGGATCCAAAGTACACTGGGACTCGCACGCAACTGACGCCACCGAGGCCGCTCTGCCCCGGAGCTCCCGAATACAACCCAACAATCGGTGTCGCTTTCCAAATGACTTGATCTCCAGTTCTTTCAGATCTTCCGCTTGAAGTTCAAGAAGAATCGAGCCAGTGATGTCATTGACAAAGAGCTTTTCAACGACAGAGTCGTCAAAGTTTTGCTTTCGCAGCCATGTAACGACATCCTGGGGCGTCCAATTGGCGACCTCACTCTCCTTAGGCACAGGAAGGGATGTTGTCTTCTCAGGCCGCTTCTGTTCCGTTGCGACGGCAGTGACCGGTACCGGGGTGTCTTTTCTCTCGGGCTCAAGCTTGGAAGCGGCTTGATAGAGCGGAGTTGTAGCAGTGGTAGAAATATCCTCCATGGTCAAGTCGAAGCCAAAGGACGCCTCCGAATATTCAGAGGAAACACGGAAGAGGTGTGGTCCTACAGGACCCTTGACAGGATATTCATCGAGCTGGAAATGGAATGCCGTGAGGCCAGTTGTATCGGGGGTTTTCACATCATCTGGCGTCGAAGCAGTCGTCACACTCTCCGTTCCGAGCTTACATCTATTGTTAGCCATTGGGATAATATTCTCCGGACAGCGTACTCACAGACTGGCCGCTGAGATAACGGGAAACATCTGAATAATTCTCATAAGAGTCAGACTCAAAGTCTGTGTCGAGAATTTCGGTCGTGTCGGTATCAGATACCGTAGGATCGGATAGGATGGGGAAGTAGTTCATTGTGGCACAGGGCCCAGGCGGGGAAATAGACCGTCGAAGAACGAAGAAGTTGTTGTGCTTTGGACCAGCCAAACTAATAATCAATAGAAGTTCTTCGCTATGGCAAAATGACCCTCGGAGTCTTCTGGTCAAGTGCCTCGTCCCCTTAGGAGTGAGGCTGTTCGTTCCACTGTGGGCGGTGTGGGAACACGTGCGTGGAGGGAGAATAGATCGTTTAGAGGGTTTAGTAAAGGAGGTTGAGATAGAATATAGAATTGGCAGGGTTATCACCAGCCCTCACCAAAAACGGAAGGTTAGTTCAATGGGGTATACTTAGAGATAGGGAAGCGCGGTCAGAGGAACGGGGTGGGCGAGGGGCGTATAAGTATAAGCGAGTAACTTGAAATCCCTCGTCTGGCGGTATAAAAAAAGAACATGACACGGTCGAAGAGAAGGGAGGGAGGCATGCCGTGATTGCTGGAACGAGCGATGTGACGGGTTGAGCCTGCAGGTGCATTAGGCGGAGATGACTGAAAAACCGTCGAATAGATCCCAATCATCCCGTGGTGGCATCAAGTTTCAGGCCTCTGATTTGTCGCTGTCCTGCAAGCCGGGAATATGGCGGCGCTTGGAGAGAGTCTGTCCGACGCGGCCCCGAGCTCTGATTGGCCGACATCCTGATACTGATGATCCAGAGTTTATAACGAGCATCGCTCGAGAGGACATGGCGCCCAAGGAAAGATGGGTTTGCTGTTTGACTGGCTCGAAGGATGCCCACTACTGCTGTGACGACGGTGCAGTGGGGGTGATTGTAAATGGCTTTGGTCTATCTGTCACGCAGCACACTTAGTCGGTCTCCGTTCAGCTTGACTGCTACCGGCTTCACTTGACCCTAGGAAATTGAATTTAGCTACTCCGTACCCACTGAGCGACTGATAATTCTGCGAAAATAGTATAGGCGGTTGATGGTAGTTCCAAGAATAGCCACCCTAATGTCGCAGAAAGTCGGTGACATTGCCTTGGAAGCAGAGACGGGGTACTCGGTACTTGTCAGGAATAGAGCGTTGCCCACAGTTACCCCTCACCTGAAGATGTACTGTGACAGCCACGGTGACACCCGCCGAGGAAGCTGGGGTCCCCTTCATTCTAGTCCTCATCTCAATCCGTCCGGTGGTTGCTTGCTTAATTTGCCAATTTCGACGGCAGCTTCACTGTTTGACGGATTCCACCCGCGATCACAAAATGGAGAGCCCTTTGGCTATGTCACTTGAACTATTTGTTAAGTTATTCTCTCCTGACACTTTATCGCAGTGGACTTGTAATCTTTCACCCCTAAAAGTCCCGATGATTTAATCAAGATATGGTCTCAGTAGGCCCTAGCACTGGGCTAAGTGACAGAGTCCTCTTCATGGACCTTTCTTGCGTGTATACTTTATATTTCAGAGTGAGGCATGTCAAGCGATGAAGTTATGCTTGGGCCCTCGGTCGATGTGATAGTGTGCTTGCATCAGTGTGATCACTGCCTTGCAGCTCCAAGGAGATGGATTGGTCGCATGTAACAACCTCAGTTATGTCAGCAAGGTCAACCTCCTGCCTCTTCTTTACCTTCTTCACTCACATCTCAACATCCCCATTATCTTTCTTCCTCTTGCCATGCTTATCCCTCCCTCGGGTGCTCTTTTCTCATTGCCGTAAGTGCATGTGAGTCTTAAAATCATATCTCGTGTTCTGGTCAACAACTAATGTCAATCGGTTTTCACCATCAACTGACCGATCTAGTCAAGAAGAACACCATCGCGGATAGTATGTTAGAACTGAGGACGGAGAACACGAACAGTAGGAACTTACTCCTCAATACGATGTTTGCAACAGGAACAGGTCTGCTTTTCAAATTTGCTGCTAACATACCCTGTAGCAGCCATGCGAAGCGACTTGTGTGATGATGTTTAGAGGGATGTAGAAGAAAAGGTGTCTTACTGGGAGAATATACTCGATGAGTGTGGTAGAACCTTACAAGCTAGTAGGAAGGTACAAAGCTGTCTACAAGGTTATTTTATCAGGTGACTGCGATGTCACAATCATGATGTGTAGCGATTGTTGCAGACACCTATCATCTCACCCCTATTAATGTACAACGGTGGTTCATTTCGTGGGGGAATCCCACAATAATCCTAACTGTGGCAGAGAGATAGTATCCTTGCCACCAAACAAGTAATAGAAATAATGGAATTTCGATTCAGAAGCACTTCGAAATTTCTGTTGGTGAAGTCAACAGGCTTGACGTCAATGTAAGTAGCTAGATACACAACCTGTTGGATAATATATATTCTACTGGTCGTTCGTATACATGACCCTGGTCCCTTGTTTAGACCAGTTGTTACTCAACAGGTTCAAGAACTAAGTTGTGCCATCTCGCACGTGTAGATCACCACATATGACATATAGTTGCACTACTATTAGCCTATCAATAAATACATTTCAATATAAGGCGGCGAAACTACTAGTAGTGACGGTTGACATGTGGGGTCAAAGGTGTAAGGCTAGCCCGAGAGCCGCTGGCCGATCCGCTGCACGCTACACATGGCTTTGATGCTCACAGCGAATATATTTTCCGCAGATGAACCGATAGTTGTGCCTACTATACTTCTCCACTAGCACATACTGGTAGATAATCGGTATGTATCGATGGCCAATGCATTTTCCAGAGATGTACGGTACCATAGCCTTGGGACCAACAGCATCGCTGGAATCTGGCATCTACCGGACACCATGTTGAAATCCAACAACTACCCCTCTCATAATTACCACCTAACCCATGTCTCTAGGAACACAACGTGGACTAAGAAATATTTCCCATCACATGTGAGTTCTGATATGGCGCATCAGCGAGTATGCATGCGTTGAAAGTTGCGAGCGACAAGTAATTGGCGTGTTCATGTTGTGTGTACATTGGATAGTGAACTAGATCCTCACCACTCACAGTATAGTAGATGTCTGCAAATAGAGCCAAGTCGGCGGTTACTGTTGTTAATTTTGGTTACCTTGCGCTTAATTTTGCGGGTCAGGGACCTGATGTTCCCGATATAGATCGGTGACAGATAGTGGGTAGTGTCTGCTTCAGATCTGATTCCTAGTCTCCCATGTGCAGACAATCAATCAGCAAGCTAGCAGAGAACTATTATTAGCAAAGCGCCGCACCTAGAGGCTAAAAACAGTTACGCTTCAGAAGTCAAAACCATGGACTGGGCGGCTATCTCTGTTTCAGCTGCTTCGATATGGCATCTATGATCTATTATCAGCGACACAGAGCGTTTAAGCATTATTCTAGGTGCGGATGGCGGCGGTTAAGGGTACTAATCAAGGATACAGGCAAAAATAGTTAGCGCTGGAGGACAACAAATCAGAAATGAAGGAAAGCGTCTCGACTACCTTCGAAGTTGCACGGGCCACAGTGGTCGTCGGCACCTGGTTGGCAGAGAATACTCGAATTGTCCCCAGCGGGCCGCTTTAGCGCCCACCAACCAACCCAGCGAAGCGCCGACTTGTGATGAAGTCCTCCAATGGCAGAGGAAGAGAAGAAGCTTGGCATGCACCTTCCACTGTTCATTCACACCCTAAGCTCCCTTAACGCCGTTTCATCAGTCGCCCACTGGCATACCAAACAGGAAAAATTCCAGTCTCAGACGAATCAGGGCCAATGATTGTCGACATTTTTGAAGCGCCGAGCAGGGATTACTGGTCAGAGTGTGGGCGAAATTAGAAACATGCTGGTTTTCATGGGGGTTTCGAAAACTGCCCAGAGACGACCAACCATAATGGGAGAGTCAGGAAAAAAAGAGGCATACTGAATCCGAAGAGAGGCAGCGAAAAATGGGGATGGAAGACACTTCCATGGTTTCAAGGTACGAGGAGACGATGGTTGGCCGGGGTAGGGCCTATGAGGGCGAGGCTAGCGGGACTGCAGGCACCAAGGGTCGGCCCTAGCCAGGGACCCCTGCTTCCTAGTAAGCAATTCTCGCTGCCAACTCGACGTGATCTTCCCCAAAGCACCCCTCAGGTCGACTGTCCCAAATTTAGCTCTTAGACGCCGGCCATTCGTCGCCTGCATCAGATCTTCCCCGCCTGCAGTTCGCATGTTGGTTCGGTGCTCATGCATCCCCAGTTAGCTCTACCGCCCTCGTCGTCAAAAAATAGAAGCAACCATAGCATGACACTTTATCGCGGAACTAGACCTGGAGTCTTCATCTCGAAAGATATTAAGGCATCATGTCCGGCACCAGTTCGTTCGATTTCAATCCATCCAAACAACAACAATTCTTTTCAATCATCATCACCATTGCTCTACAAGATAAAAAACTTCCACCTTGACCTTCGCGAACTTTGATCTTCTTGCCTTTCGCCTGCCGCATACTAAGAGATCTTCCTTCCTCCCCGCCCCCGCCAAGCATCATCGAAGTCTCCGACAGGCACCATGTCAAGCGCAGTCGCATCTAGCTCGGGTTCGGGAAGATCGTGTGGGGTTGCCATTCCGCAGGGGTCTAATGACAGGATAGTCCGGCAGTACAAGCGTTCGCGTGAGGGTCTGTTACAGATATCATGCCATGTCTTGGTCGCGTTCAAGTCAGTCAACTGACCTACCAAACTTCAAACAGGATGCTTCACTTGTCGACTACGAAGGAAGAAGTGTGATGAGAATCACCCACGATGTAACTCGTGCACCAGTCTCGATATCACCTGTGACTATGATGAACCACCGTGGTGGAGGAGCCTAGCAGCGCGGGACATATACAAAGAGCGGATCAAGAGGCAGATAAGGCACTCGAAGGTCATTGCGAGACAGAAGAACCTTCAAGGTTGGTACTCATGGCTGCGGAAGATCTATTGAACAGTGTTCCTCATACCTTGACAATAGCCTTCGTCAACCGCAACTTCTCAGGCCCGAAGAGAAAGCGTGCACGCTCCCGCTCCCTGTCCGTCGACACAAGCTCATCTGGCGAATACACACCATACCTGAATGTCCCTGCGCAACCCCAATTCGAATCGGCTATTGACGAGGGGCAGAATCCCTGGCAGCACCCTATACCGTCCACTTCATACAGTACCCTCATGGGTGGCCAACGGCTACCTGGACAACTACCACTACCAGAGATGTCAAATCCTTTGACGCAGCAGTTCTCGCTTCCAGGA